TCTCGCTCTTGCTCAGGCTGGTCTGGAACTCCTGAGCTCAAACAATCCGCCCGCCTCGGCCTCCCAGAGTGCTAGGATTACAGGCGTGAGCCACCACGCCCAGCCTGCATGTTCTTTTAGTTTATCCTCACATTTTGTACTGTTTACTGTCTTCTAGATATATTGTTTTCTGAACACCAGAATTCAGCACAGCACCTGGCACTAAAAAGGGATCAAAAGTCACTTAATAAGTAAATAAATGAGTGATATCCATACAACCTAGACATGACTGACATTGATCATCTTATTTTTGGTAAGTATGTTGTGGGTTTATATTTACTCACACACATTGGTAAACATAGGGAAAGAGCTTCAGATTTCTATGAGGACAAGACCCCTTGCTTCTTGAGATCATTTATTTTTCTTGTTTAGAAGATTGTTTGAAAGTGCTTATTAGAGGGTAGTTTTTTTTTTAATGGAAAGTGGCTCAAAAGTTAAGTCTCAGTTTATGGCCTCTTTTTTTAAAAGTCTTACCCAAAAGGAAGTGAGTATGAGGTAAATTGCACTAACTGGAAGTACCGCAGAGATGAGGCTTGAAGCAGGAAGCAACATACCATCAATGTGCTGGGTGGCGACACGTTTGTGTCATGTGAATAGACATGACAAAAACAGCCCTCCTTAAATTATTTGTGGCAATAGTGATCACATTCATTTTAATTTTGCCGGAATATTTCAAGACATCAGAAGGTGAGTGTATGATTGTAATCTAGCTTTCCTTTCTTAATTTTTAAAATTGGTTGCAGCTGATGGTTACAGAAAAGATTTCTGGGTACATGCTACATGGGCTAAAGTTCTATGTCTGAAAAACTAATAAAACAAGATTGCAATTTTAGTTACCTGTTAAATAGCACAGTAACCTTATTCATAGTAATTAATGTAGCATACATAAAAGTGAAAAGAAATATTTAATGTCTATAGTCTTAGATTTCAAACATTGAGTTTATAGAATCTTATCACGTGATTTTGCTCTTTGAAAGTTTCCTTTAAAACAGTTTTAAGTATGATTTTATATTCTGAAATTATTTAATGAAGAAAGTGAGATTTATTATGCTAAAAATTCTTGAATTCCTTTACCACAACTATTTCACACAAATAGTTTACTGTCAATTTTTGAAAAGTAAGCGTATTTACATATTTTGAAATAAGGTGAGTGCAAATTTAAGCAGATGCACATGTGTATTTGTGACTAGAGAAAAATGGAACAAAAGTAAACTCCGTGAACATTTCTGAAAATTGTGATACGATTGCTGAGACCTTGATTAGGAAAAAATATATATGAATTTAAATTATTTTTATATGTTAATAAAAGATTTGAAAATGCATTAATGTGATTGTTTGGATGGCAATTGTGCTCCCTTAGTAGTTAATAAGGACAAAAAGTAAAAAGAAAATGCTGTATTCTAGCCTCGAATTGTTATTATATGAGCTTGATTAAAATCAGAGAAAAACTTACATTTAATGACTTACTGCAATGAATATTTATTGTTGCATATATATGATGTTAAGTAGCCAGATAAAAATATTTTTGCTAAATAAACACTATGACTGCAATTTGGTTTTCTGGCATTATGTTGCTTAGATTAAGTAATTATAGCACATGTTTTTAATGCTTGATTTCACTGGGTGAAAATGTGTTACAACAGGAATAGTTAGAATAAAGATAACCTGTTTTTAAGATATTGTGGGCTCAGAGTAAGCTCATTTAATAGTTATCCAAGGTAGGTCCTATATATATATATATATATATATATATATATATATATTTATATATACAGAGAGAGAGAGAGAGAGAGAGAGAACCGATAGATAGATAGATAGATAGATATAGGACCTACCTATATATATATATATCTCACCTCCGAAAATACCAGGTTGGATCTAATGAAAACTAGGTAATCATCCCCAAAAAGATTTAATAAACTATGAGCTAACTATTGGCTAATATTTTACAAGAACTGGTGCCTACGAAAACATGTAAAGGTTTTCCTTTTGGGGGCGGATGTATTGTTCTTTTAGCTCTTATTTCTCAAAGTGTGACGCATGGCTTTCTGGGGCATGGCGAGCAGAAAGAAGACATGAAACATAGAGAAATTCATAGGGAAGGACAGGTGGGAGCTTTAGCAGCACCTTGTACTGGTGGGTAGAAGATAGAGCTCCTATAAAATCCAGCTTAGCCAAATTTCCTTGGCTTAATAGTAATGTGTCAGTTCTTCTTCATTTTGACAACAGTTACCCATCATTTATAGTGATGTTTATTCTCTTTTTAGTAGTTTCATGACTGATGATGTCAGCTCCCAATACTATGTTTACTGCCTTTGCCAAAATTTAAAATAGCTGTTTCTCTTTTCCTGGTCCAAGAACAGCATAGATATTTCTTCAAACTCTTCTTGGGGTGATGGTTGTTTTTTTTTTTTTTAAGAGAGTAGGTCTCACTGTGTTACCCAGGCTGGCCTCGAACTCCTGGGCTCAAGCAGTCCTCCCATCTCACCCTCACAAGTAGCAGGACTACTGGCCCTTACCACTGTGCCATGCTGGATTTATTTGGGAATTTTGTTTCAAAGAAGCCCTGCTTGAGGCTGACAAACAAAATGTTTGGAAACCATTGTCTTCTCTTATGTCATTTAGTGGTAGAAATTTTGCACAGAGCCACCCATAAACAAAAAGTTGATTTAGGAAAAATGTTTTACACATGCAACCATGTAATAATAATGCTTTACATTTTTATAATGGTTTATGGATCACCAGGAACATGTTTCTATAGCCTCATTTCATATAGTCCTATATTAGTTAAACTAAGGAAACTTGAACATAATTGTTTTGCTTTTTTTTAAAAATTAGTTTTTAATCACAGTACTAGTTGGCCTATGAAATGAGTTGAATTGTCAACCAATATATTTCATAAAATAAAGTATCTAGTAAAAGTATTTGATGATAAACTAAGAATGTTCTAGAAGTGTTAAAATTAACCTTGTGAAATTCCCGTTTAGGCTTACCTTATCAGTTACTTGTGACTTTTTTCTCCCATTTTTTCTAATGTTCTATTCACTTTAATTTCTAAGATAAATATTATAAAATGATTTTTACTTATAAATTATTCACTGATATCCTGTCTTTAACATGTCAAATGAATTCGAAAGGAATCTTAATGAGGAATAATATATTCACAAGGTTTAACAGATTTGATTTCAAAATAATAAACCCTCTGAAGTCCTAAGTTAAAAATAGAGCACTATGTCTGATCATTTTTCATTAAGAATGTATCTGAGTCTCTGAATAATCCTTAGTAGGAATATTCAATTATCACAATTACACAGAGTAAGCTATTAATATTTAGTCTAACTTTACCAAACAAGGGGCACTTCTTTAATGTTGTTTGAGAGTTTTAATGAGTTTGCATTAGGTATGCACTACTCACAAAATAACCTATTCCACAGCAGTGTTTTTAACCTTTCAGTGTGTTTGAAAGGCAGATACTGCAGTGACTAGAATGGTTCAATACACTTATATTGCATGTAGACAATGGAGATAACAAAAGGAATGGCGGATTTGTTTTGACTCAGAGCTTCTCGCAATTAAGGAAACTAGGCTGCTCCAAAATAAGAGATTTTACCAACCTGCTTTTGTTGGACTTACAGTTTGAGAGAGACTTGGTTAACCCTCATGTAAATCCCAGTGATCTTTTATTTATTAATTCTTTCACTTATCAATAGTGTCTACCTGTACTAGGAACCCAAGGCCACAAAAATGAAAGGCAAGTCTTCCTTTAAGGAGTTTTCAGTTGGGGGGAGGACTGACTGGCAAATAATTAAATACAAGACCTGATGACTAAAATAGGGATGTAAACAAGGTGCAGTGGGAATATAACTGTTGCTTCCAGGCGTGTCTTGGGAAGGATGTTCCTTCTATTTTCATTTGCAAACAGAAATAACAACTGTCAGAGTTTAAATGTTCACCTAATATTTCTCCTTATCCACTTGCAGAAGCACTTTCCAAGAGAAGAAATAATTATTATTATTGATTTTAAAATAAAATGTTCTGATATTAATATCTCAAAAGTTCTAGAAGCTAGAAATTATAATGAGTTATACAAGGGTACTACCAGGGATTTGCAGTGATGCAGGACAAGAATAGCACAAATGAAAACACCTCAAAACGAATTTTATCTAGCTGTTTTGACTTCCTCACTTTCTTTTAAGAGACAAACTGACATAAACTATGTTTATCTGCTTTCATTTCTCCTTCTATTTCACACTTTCTGATGGAAATGGTAGTGTAATGAACAGGGAAATTGAAGGAAACAAAGGCTAGAGGAACTTTAAACACTTAGCAACTGTAGGATAAAGCCTGCCTGGTATGAGCCAGTTCTCACGTTATTTATGTCTATAGAAAGGCCAGCACATCAAGGGTAACTGCAATTCATTTCCTGAAAGTGTTATTCCAGCTTTCAAAAAGGAGTACTTTATTTTCTTCTTATTGACTGGTTCATAAAAATTTAATCAGTAATCCCCAGTAATATTTGGGATGTAGCCTTATGACTAAACAATTTTTAAAAATTTTAACAAATGCTCATATTTACATGTACCAGGTACCATGTATTATGCCAAGTATTTTTACATATAATAACTCATTTTAATTCATTAAATATTTCAACTTATTGTGAATTCTCAAGAATGTTCTAAAAACCTTCAGAAAGAAGGAATAAAACTAGATGGATAAATTTACTTTGGTATCAGACTTCACTTCTTACTGAATTTTCTGAATCATTATAGTGTTAAAATGGCTACTAATGGAGATGATACTGTTATGTATATATTTTAGACAATATGTACTGGCAAAAAGAAAAAAGAAAGAAAAAAATGTGCTGAATATAATGCTTTTTGTTGCTTTGGGAGACCTGGCCTTCCTCTTTCCTCCGTCAGGTTGCAATAGCAACAGCTCTTGCTTGGGCTACTTACTAACTGCTTATCTCGTTGTTTTGCTGGATAAATGCTGTCTTAGTATATCTTTTTTGCCATTTTTTTTTAAGAGAGAGAGATAGGGTCTCCCTTTATTGCCCAGGCTGGATTCTAACTCCTGGACTCAAGTGATCCTCCCACCTCAGCCTCCCACAAAGCATTTTTTTTTGCTTTTATAGAAAAAAATCATTTTCTCTAAGATGTTCATATGGTGATATATGTTCCCCTTACACTGTTCTCTTTTCTCTTATCACCTATATTTTATCACCTATATAATTTACTTATTTATTATGCCATTTTTTGGTATGACTTGTCCAAATGGAAGATA